GTAATACTGTGATATATATATATATATATAGATATATAGATATATATATAATTTTTTTCTTTATCCATTTCTCTGGTTTTGGGCACCTATGCAGGTTCCCTACCTTGGCATGCAGGTATCCTTATAGAATTCTGACTTTAATTCCTTTGGGTATATACTAAGGAGTGGTAGCTGGATTAAATAGTAGTTCTATTTTTAGTTTTCTCAGGAACCTCCATACTGATTTCCATAGTGGCTTTACTAATTTACATTCCGATCAGCAGTGTAGGAGGGTTCCTTACCCCTACATCCTCACCAGTCTTTGTGAATGGGGTAGGATGGAATCTCAGTGTAGTTTTGATTTGCATTTTCCTAATGGCTAAAGATGCTGAACATTTTTTCATATATTTATTGGCCATTTGTATTGCTTCTCTTGAGAAGTGTGTGTTCAGTTCTTTTACCTATTTATTTATTGACTGCACTTTTTATTTTTACTTATTTATTTTGATGTTAAGCTTTGTGAGTTCTTTATATTTTCTAATAGTAATCCTATGTCAGAAGAGTAAGTAGCTGCAAAGATTTTTTTTTTTCTGTTCTGTAGGTTGGCCCAGGCAAAGACTTCCTGAATAGGTTCCAGTAGCACAGAAAATAATAGCAGGAATCAACAAATGGGACTACATAAGATTAAAAGTTTCTGTACAGCAAAAGGAAATAACAATTTCATATCACTATTATATAATGTAAACCAATGTATTAGATTAGTATACTATTTTTATTAACTACCCAGAAGTAGATATATATGCTATTTGAACCTGAAATTGGATGGAAACTAGACTCTTGATTGAGATAAGGGCATTAGCCATTATTATGATATGTACTGAATATTCATATATAATGTATTTTTAAAATTGATATAGGTAATGCCCAGGACTTGCATATATGAACTAAACTTAGTTAAGGATCAATTTTAATGGTTTTCTGTTTATTTCTGTTTTCTGAAAATGGATCTCAGGAATTTAAAACTAGAAGGTATCTTCAGGTGTTACCTAAACATGTCACCAAATCTAGTTATTTTTAATTTTAAAAGTGGTTTAATCTTTTTGTTAAAGAGGAGTCATATGTAGAAATCCATTAAGTAATAATATAGATAAAAACCGAACTTTTAAGAGTGGTAGAAGTTAAGGCAGAGCATTTAAGAAGACTTTTAAGCCCCAGGGTATCCATCTGAAGGGACTTCATGGAGTGAGACTTCAAATAGTTTAACATTCTGCCACTTTTCAGTAGGTTAAGCAGCTGGTTGGTTTTCCAACTTTGGTTTTTAAAATTTTCACATAAATTCTGTGTGTGTATAAGAGGCTACTATTTGTGTTAGTGATCAGTCATACTTTTATTTGGCTTTTATTTGTTTCGGTTTTTATTCTTTTGTGAGACAGGGTCATGCTACTATACTATAGTCAAGTCAGGCTGGCCTTGAAACTTGCTTTGTAGCCTAGGCTGGCCATGAACTCCAGGTCCTCTTGCCTCAGACTCCCAAGTGCTAGGCTTTATAGGTGTGTGCCACTACACCTGGTACTCAACTATAATTTTAGAAAGCTCTTTCTTGTGAATAATGAGTAGTTTTCTCAACAAAGGATGATGGAACACTTGTACATGTATATGCAAAGTTTAAAAAGGACTTTGATCTGTTTCTGTGCCATCCACAAAACTCCCAAGTCTTAGATACAATCTCATAGTCCTAAATTTCAAACGAAAATATTAAAAATTTCTAGAAGAAAATGTAGGAGCAAATCTTTGTAACTTTGGGTCACATTTTTTTTTTAGGTATTATACCAAAACATTTTATTTAATAAGTTGTAAAATTGGACTTTCTTATGCTAAAACCTTATGCTCTTCGAAAGGGATTGCTAGAGCAAATAGAAGACAAGCTACAGATTGAGAGAAAATACTTGCAAAATATATGTGATAAAGGAATTATATCCAGAAAATATAAGCAACACTTATAAAAGAATCCAGCTTCATAAGACTACATACTGTATGATTCCATTTATTTGACATTATAAAAGAGGCAAAACTCTAGGAATAGAAAATTGATCAGTGATTGTCAGAACTAGAGGGTAGGTAAGGAGGAAATAACTATAAAGAAACATGAGGAAATTGTGAAAGTGATGTCTTAATTGAGGTGGTAATTCTTTTGTCAAAAATTCATTTCTACTCATTTGTGAAAGAAAAACCAAAAAGAAAAAAACCAAAAAATAAGTAAAAGAAAAACCACAAAATTGCACACTAGAAAGGACAAATTTTGTTTATAAATTACACATAAAGGGGGATAAAGATAATTTCTTCTGATTTCTACCTATTGATTCGAGATCTGCCCTCATAGGACATGTGTGCCATTTTCTATCTGACAGTATTGTTTACTAAATTTAAAACCTCTTTGGTAACCTGGTTTAGTTGTTTTCAGAGTGCATAAGATTTTTTTTTAGGAATCTACAGAGTTACTTTTATAATTATTCTCTCTCTTTATTTGCCCTTCTCACTTTGTTGACATTTACACTGATGCTATAAAATAACTGCGATAAAACTTTTGACCTCTTAGCACAAATAAAGGCAGTGGGCCGTCAGTATTTATATCCTTCACTTTTTTGCAAAGTTAAAAAAAATCTAGTGTTATTTTGTGAAGCAGTGATAATTTTTAATTTTTAAAAATCTCAACTGTGTACCCATCTTTTTGTTTCATGTGACAAAACGGGGGTACACATAAACAGTTCTGTTACATAGTGTGTAATGGTTGTCTTAAGAAAAAACCCTTGTCTGCTTTACTTTCTGTTGGAAACTGGATTAGCCCTTTTTTTCATGGTACAACTTTTAGTTGACATAACAACAGATGATAAACTATGATTATTCAGTTATTAGTATATGGCAGATATTTTCTTAAAAATGAACTTATCAGTTCTTAAAAATGAACTTAAAAGAAATATTGCTCATTGTAAAAGTCAAGCTTTCAAGTAGAAATGAGTTTTTGTAGAAGTTGGTTATACCACTGATCTGATATTGATTCCTTCCTAGTAGTACTTAACTTCTTTGGAGATGACATTAACAAATGTGGGTTTTTTAATATTATGTAATGAAATATCACATAGTATGTTGATATTTGAAAAATGTGCATACCTCTGTGAGCCAGTATTTTCCATATGACCAGTGCATGGTGTTAGAAGTCGTGCATGGTGTTAGAAGTCATGCATGGGTAAAAGCTCCATTTAAAGTGCCAAAGATAGACAAATGGAATTTAACAAATGCACATAGAAAAAGAAAGATTTTAATGAATCCAACTATGAAAATATTAAAGCTACTAAAAGTATTGCCTCTAACTACATATCTGTATGATGATGAATTTTCTTTATATGTTGCATTCAAAACAACCTAGCTCAGCAGTTTCATTCAAGAACAGATGTTAAAATTCAGCTGTCTACTCTTCAGTTAGACATTAGAAATTTTCATAATGCAAATCAGTGCCATTCTTCTCAGTTGAGTTTTTAGTTTTTGAAAATAGTTATTTTTCATTAAAATGTTTATATTAATATGTAATTGGCTTATTTTAAATTAAGTATTTAAATTTGTTATTCCATTTTAGGTTATCATATGATAAATATCTCTGGCTATAGTTCATGTAAACAAAACTTTATTGACGTCTCTTTAAGAAAATAAAAGGAGTCCTTGAG